CACCTCTAAATGCAGTCTGCACAGGCAAAACCTATCGTACCCAATCTGAAACTGAGCTCAGACATCCAGTGCTATTTATTGTTTGAATAATCAATGTAATTGGGAGACACCTGGGCAACAAAACACACCTGTCAGTCACATGTTCCAATACTTTTGCTCACATGAAAAATGGGTGGGTTCAAACAAAAGGTGCTATCTTCTAAGTTGTGTATCAGATCCAGATGTAAATACCTGGAAATGAAAGCTGTCTCATATTCATCTTTTGATGTCAAACCCAAATATTTTCAGTCTACAACAAAAATAAAGGAATTGGCCTCACTGTTCCAATACTTTTGGAGGGCACTGTATATAGGCAAATGTTAATTACTTTGCTCACATTGCACAAAAAGTAGTGCTATGATTTTGGATGTTACAGTAACAAAATGGTTGGTGTCATAAACATTTGTTTGCCACAGAGCTTATTTTCTGCAGTGATCCAGAATTCATTGGAAAAATCCCATTGGCTTTGTGACGAGGGAACCAGTGCGACGCTAACATCACCCCAAGGGCACTCTATCAACAGGTTTAACAACAGAGTGGAGCCTTTTGGTGTTGATGTGAGTTTGTTGGGTTCGCTTAGACGTAACCTGGCAGATGTTGAACTAAGGAGCCCTATTTTTTTTCCGCCTTGTTTTTCAGCACCATCAAAATTATTGGGCTTTTTAAAGAACTTCATTCATGTAAAATGCAATAAATAAAACCTATAAGCTGCAACAATTAAACTGTATGATTAAAAGAAAATAAATGTGCAAGTATTTTGATCATTGATGAATAGTTGTATTCATTTTTTAAGCAAAAAAGCCAAACATTTGCTGGTTACAACTTCTCAAAAGTGAGGAGTCCCTGTTTATTTGTCTCATATAGAGCTGCGACGATTCTTCGATTGGTTGTCAACAAACTAATTTGATATCAGTTATGAGTTTGAGTGATTTTTACTGAAGAAAAAGCTTCTTGAATGTGAATATTTTCTGGTTTCTTTCCTCCTCTATGACAGTAAACCGAATATCTTCAACTTGTGGACAAAATACATAATTTAAGAACGTCGTCTTTTACTTTGGGAAACACTAATTTTCATTTTCAATCAATTAATACAGAAAATAATCAACAGATTAATCAAAAGTGAAAGTAATCGTTCCAGCCCTACACACAAATGCTAGTAACTGAATATCTTTGGGTTTTGGACTGTTGGTTGGACGAAACAATTAATATGAAGACGTTGCTTTTGACTCTGAGAGGGTGTGAATGCTGTTTTCAATACTCTAAAACTGCCCAGTATCCTTCCCAGTCTCGTGGCGCCCTGATGAGGCTAAAGTCCGCTATGTAGGAGGGTGGGCAGATGGGAGTGGGAGAGGGAAGCTGGAGCCAGGGTGGTAAAGTTTATGGACCTTGTGCTCATTTTGCTGCAGTCAGTTCCTATAAAAACACAAAGATATGAGCAGCCATGATGCGTTCGTAGTTTCTGCCTCTGTGAGAAGGGAGGCAGCTTGCACGAGATCGAGCAGGCCAGGGGCAGCAGATTGATCCAGGAAAGGGAACATGAAATCTCTGTCATGTTGCCGCTGAGAGCATTTAAATCCCCTCAGCTGCTCGGCCTCAGATGTGCCCACAGACTCACTGCAGGGATCAGGTTGCCTTCAAGGGCGTTGTAATGACAAACCGATTGTTTGCTTTGTCTGTGTGCATCAGTATTTAGAATGATTTATCTCTTCGTCCCTCTTCATCCTCCAGCGGGTCAGCCTACAGTTACTGGACCAGGTAACGGTGGAGCAGGGGGAGGCAACCCGGACTACACTGCTTTCATCCTGGTGCCTGTGTTCTTCATCCTGGGCCTGTTGGGGGTGGTGATCTGCCACGTGTTGAAGAGGAAGGGCTACCGCTGCACCACTGAGGCCCACGATGAGGAGGAGGAGTTTGAGGAACAGGAGAAGGATCCCGAGCTGGGCGGAGGTAACTCCAGGCAACTCCAGAAACGAAACTGGCTGTGGCAGCATTGTGATTGGCTTTATGTGTTTATTGCATCCATGTGCTCGTTGTGTGAAGGCATCCATCATCTGTAAACAGTACACACCCAAGATTATTGCTCAACCATGTTAATCTGAGCAGAGAGGCTGTAAGGGAGGGAAACTGTTTGACAGAAAGGAGACACTATTGGTATGCAGAATTCCTAAGACGCCCTCCAGTCAAGCTTTAAAGTAAAATACTTACACTAATATTGGCTGAGCGCTGAAAGAGAAGTGCAGATCAGGTTAGCGTTAGCGTTGGAGGAAATATACATACATGTTCAAGCCTCAGTCAGACCCCGACTCAGATGAGGAATCTGTTGTTCATCAAAACCGATGACTTGCAGATGTATCAGAATCTTTCGTGGAATTAGCATCTTTTACTTGTTAGTGTTTGCTAGCCTGTTAGCTTGTAGGCTAACTGGCAGTGGCTGACACAGTGTTAGTGGTTGTGAAACATACAATAACAATGGTAGACAGTGGAGGGAAGCTCAAGGATCTGGTTTACACCCAAAACCTTCACACAACACCATGTTTACTGTCAAAACTGTCACTAAGCTAATGCTAACTCGGCTCTGGAGGTTTCAGGTTTCGTTGCTGGTGTTGTGCAGAAGTCAGTTCTCCTGTTGACATGTGTTTCCTGTATCAGACAATAATTAGCTTTCATATTATCTGCCTTGCCGGCTGTACATTTGAATCCCAGATTTTAGGAAAGTGTACAGACATCGCCAGCTTAGTAGAGCTTGAAAACACCTCTCTAGCGATGAACTTTTCACAGATACAACTCACGAAAGTCGAGGTCAGACATTTTAGGGGACATAAAAATAAGAAAAAAAAAGTTTTCTCGAGTGGAGGCGGACTTTAAAACATTTACAGGTCAATTTATTTCTGCATATTCATGGTTGCTTTCGGTTTTTGCTAAAATTAACGTATGGCCACTGTCTTGTTGAAGTATTTTTTTTTAAAAAAGAAAACTAAAGATTTCAGTGTGGAGAAATCCATAGATTTCATATGGCGAGGAGCAATTCTGTCTTTATTTTAACCCAAACCATGATTTTCTTCACTCTTACCCTAACCCAAAGAATACCTTTCTGGCCGAAAACCCTCCAGGCAAACTCCTCTTAATAGCTGGTAGGAATAACCAGTGGTTAACGTAGTAACGACACATGTGTTTTTGTTTTGCCCCCATAATTGCGGGGGCAGCAACATTCCTGCAGCAGCTACTTTGTCCGAAATACAACAGAAGGAGAACTGGTTTATCTGTTCACAGTGCAGCCAAACAAACTCATAATTACAACCACTGTCTGGTTGCCGAAAGCACACGGTATGTGCAGATTACCACACAACAGCAGGACAAAAGCCTGTGTCCAATAAAGTGCTTTTTCCTGAGGCCAGAGTTTTGTTTTTTAAATTCTTGGCAATGGGAGCGCCACGTATATACTCTGTGCTACGAACACCAGCAGTGTGACGAGGTGCTGAGCATCTGTTCTACTTCTTCGTCTTCTTTAAAAAAGTATTCAACTCGAGGTAAACGCTGCATTCGTCACTGTCATTTCTTTGCCAACCGTCCAATCACAGTGAAGGATGGGCGGGACAAATACGAGATAAACTGAGAGTGCTGAACAACAGCAACAACAATAGAGGAGAAATTAATATCGCTGGTGTCTGAGTATCCATATCTGTACCAACTAACATCCCTGGACGCTGTACCCTACGCCGTAGCCTGACGTGCACCTTCCCAGAAATGTAACTACACATCGCAGCGACGCAGACTTCCTGGCCGTTTCTGAAACCATTTCCCTCAGTGGAAACAAAGCTTTTATTTACCTTAATTTCAAAGATAAGAAACAATAAATTGTGAAGACAATAAAGCCTCCACAAAATTAGCATTTTTGCGTTTTGTGTGTGATTTATCCTGGCTTCATATGAGCAGAGGAAAAGTCTGCTAGCAGCTCGGCTAATTTATACAATGTAAAATACCATAGGCTTGCGCTAATAACGTTAGCATGTTGTATTTGTGGGGAAACAAAGGTATAAATCCCACTTGTCTAACACGAAAATGCGTTTGAGGCTTTTCTTTATCCAGAGAAAATAGTCTGGTACCTTGTTTTGACATTTTTACTTACGCAGATATTTCATTTCATAACAACCAGACTCAACCAACTCTGTGCCTCCAAAGCACTCTTGTAGAGCGGGCCCTTTCAGCTGGCAAAAAATGTTTTTGTGGACAAGAGTTACCGCTCACTGTGGCTGCTCTGACTTATTCATAACTTCCTGCAATATTTAAAATTGATCTGCTTTCAAAACAATAACCATTTTCTTTTCTAATGAATGTTCATGGTTAACTTTAACGATGGCCACAAACACGAACATTGCATTTCCCGTGGTTTCCTCACAGTAAAAGCCTCCTGTATGTCACCAGTTGAATGCAGCAGCAGCATGTGCAGCTTGCATTAGCAGTAACTAAATACAGCTCTGACACAACTGTTGAAGAGTGACAGCCCATGCCAAAGAACATAGATACTGAGATGAAATTAAAAGCAGTAACTCTAGATTACATGCTGATTTGTTTACATGAAGGCAGTTTGAGTGCACAAATGGTGCCCGCTACTACTAACAATGAAACCTACTGTATTGAGATCAAGTTAAACATAAACTGATAGTCAGTATCAGCCTAAAGTCTCCCTGCACACAGTCACAATGTGATGCTGTCAGCTTTCAGTCAATGGAAAAGTAAATGCAGAAGAAATGTTTTTAGTTGTTTTCCAGATTAGTCACATGTCTGCATGAGGTTTTCCATGTTCCTGTTATGATGGTGAAATTCAAGGTCAGCGATCATGCAGTAACATCACTAGAATCTCCACATGCCCTCTAGTACTCACAGCCTTGTACTAAATTCCTGAATCTAATGAGTTTGGTGTGTGCCAGGTAGTGTAGGTGCGGACAGATGATAAGAATAGACTTGTGTGAGGTGAACTGCTAATTTATTTGCCAAAAAAAGCAGTAATAAATATTAAAACATGCAATAAACCTTTAAGAGTCAGAGCGTTTTCAAGGGATAGGTATGTATTTCATGCACCATCATTTAAGAGGTGTTTGTGCTGATGAACGAATCTTCAGAATGAAACCTGAGAAATCACAAACCTTATCAAAGGTGTATTCACAGTAAGTCACTGTGTTCTTTTACCATGAAGTCACAACCTTATCTCAGCCATTATCCTCCATTGCTTCTGTCTTTTTAGGGAGTGGAGGCCAATAGAAACCAGGAAGACTTTTTGGCATTCACGTCACTCATGTCCTGACTCAACTAGGGGCGTGTTAAGTGAAGTGAAACAAAGAAATTCTCTGCACAGGGCCAGCTTAATTTCCCCTGGTTCATAATGATAACTGCAGATAACACTTAATTGCTATGAGCATTGTGTACGTGATGATGAGTTTTCAGGCCTCGTGGAGAATGTAGTCGACTTTATAAACTTCAGCGCACTGAAATAAAGTTCACTCACTTGGTTTTCCTCTGTCTGCATCAGTACGGAGCCCCCAAGGGGACAATGGGGAGGAAAAAATAAGATAGGGGGAAAAAGAATACTTTTGTGTTTTCTGGAGAAACTTTTATGTTCTCATGAAAAGCTTTTGTCTTCTCCGAGGATACTTTTGCATTCTCTTGCATGCTCCTGGGAAACATTTGTATTCTCTCTCCTGAGAAACCTTTGTGTTCTCTCGCAAAACTTTTGCGTTCCCCAGAGAAACTCTTGTGCTTTCTCGCAAAAATTTTGCATTGTCCTGAGAAACTTTTCTGTTCTCCTGAGAAACGCTTGTATTCTCCCGCAAAACTTTTGCAAACTCCCACAAAATCTTTACATTCTCCTGAGAAACTTTTGTGCCCTCTCGCAAACCATTTGTGTTCCCCAGAAAATGTTTGTGCTCTTGCAAAAAAAAAAAAGCGTTGTTCTGAGAAGCATGTTTTCCTGAGTAAGTTTTGCGCTCTCCTGAGAAACTTTTCAGTTCTCCTGAGAAACCTTTGCGTTCTGTCACAAACCTGTTGCGTTCCTCAGAGAAACTTTTGTGCTCTCTTGCAAAAATTTTGCATTGTGCTGAGAAGCTTGTGTGTTTTGCACTGTCTTGAGAAAGTAATGTGTTCTCCTGAGAAACTTTTGTATTGTCTCACAAAATGTTTGCGTTCTTTAGAGAAACTTTAACAGTCTCTTGCAAAACTTTTTACGCTCTCCTGAGAAAGGTTTTTGTTCTCCAAAGAAACCATTACATTCTCTTGAAAAACATTTGCATTCTCCAGAGAAACTTTTGTTTTGTCCTGGGAAACTTTTGCAGTCTCTCACATTCTCCTGAGAATTGTATTCTCCGGCAAAATGTTTTCGTTCTCCCGCAAAATGTTTGCAATGTCTCACAGAAGTTTTGCTTTTTCCAGAAATTTTTTTACATTCTCTTGCAAAACCTTTTGCACTCTCCTGAGAAAGTTTTGTTTTTTTTATTGCAAAACTTTTTGCCATCTCCTGAGAAACTTTTCCGTTCTACTGAGAAACCTTTGCACTCTCCAGAGAAGCCTTTTTGTTCTCTTGCAAAACTTTTTGTGCTCTCCTGACAAAGGTTTGCACTCTCTAAAGAAGGTTTTACATTCTCTTGAAAAACTTTTGCGTTTTCCTCAGAAAACATTGCATTTTCCTGAGAAATTTTAGCATTCTCTGGCAAAAAGTTTACGTTCTGAGAAGCCTGTATTCTCCTTTTGCATTCATTTGCAAAACTTTGCATTCTCCTGGGAAACCTTTGTGTTCTCTTGCTAACTTTTTGTGTTCCCCAGAGAAACTTCTTGCGCTCTCTTGCAAAAATTTTGCATTGTGCTGAGAAGTTGTGTTCTCCTTAGTGAGTTTTGTGCTCTCCTGAGATACTTATGCTTTTCCCAGAGAAGTTTTTTTTCGCTGTCTTGCAAAAATT